TGTCCTTTTATGGTTCTGCATCCGGTCAGGTGACAAAAGAGCAGTCACACAGCTTCTCTGAGAAATGCCTCGAAATGACTGAAAAAAAATCAATGCTCGGCCTGTGCAGCGGTTGGGCGTGTAATGCTCATTATGATTACATGAGTGTGTTTGTGTGAGTGAGTTAGTGTGTGTGTGTGTGTGTGTGTGTGTGTGTGTGTGTGTGTGTGTGTGTGTGTGTGTGTGTGTGTGTGTGTGTGTGTGTGTGTGTGTGTGTGTTACAGAATGTCCAGGTGGGTTTATGTAATAGGGGACTGTGTGCAGGCTGATGCTGAGCTGATAGTGTTGGGAGAGCTGTGAGGTGGGATGTAGAGAAGCATTTCTGTTTAAATGCACAAGAGGGTTTCTTCATATGAGCATCTTTTTTATTTACCTCCAGGTTTTTATGTACACAGATTATATGTATTATCATATTATATAAATAATTTATCAGCGATGATCAGTCAATTAATCAGACATTAATCTCATATTACAGTTTCTATATTGATATGAGTAAAGTGAAGATCAGCTGATGTTTTTGTCACTACTACAAAAAGGAAATTAATTTTACCTCCTAAAACTACCAACTGAGATTGAGTAATGACAAAATTTTTAAATATGAATTATTAGAACAAGAAGATGATGATCTAAGATAATCAGATGTCTTTATCAGGATTGTTGCTAATAATGCAAATGTGAACAATCAGGATTTAGCAGTAAAAATGATATTTATGCCTTATTGTCCAAATCTATAGGGAGCCCAAGTCACGCCCATCTACTTCCGCACCATGGGTCCCCGGAAGTAAGAAAAAATGAATTGTAAGTAAATGGGTCTATAAAAGCAATTTTCTGATCCCGTTTGATACGTGCCATGGATTTCACCGTGAAATTTAAAGACACGTTTTGATGCCAAGAAAGTGCTTTTTTTGTGCTTATTTTCAAACAGCGCCAAAAGTTATTTTAGGATTAGTGCGAGAAGACAAGAAAAGATGTAATAATGATGAAAATCTTTTTCTCATTTTGCATCCCATGTGGAAAATCTAGGGGTGTTTCTGCAAGAATCTGGTGGTACGCTAATCTGTCACAATCCAGGGGAGACGATACGACTTATTGTGCAGGGTATCCGCGGGTCCTTAAAAAGTCTTAAATTTGCTTTTCCAAATTTAAGGCCTTAAAAATCCTTAAAAATGACAAATAATCCTTAAATACAGTTTCCAAAGGTCTTAAATGTCCAAAGACCCAATAAACAAGATTCTTTTATTTCTATAAAATTTTCATAAATTTCTAGTTGGTGTTCAGCATTTTTTGTGTATGATATTGGCGTAAGCGGAACAATACACATTCAGTTGGTTGCGAAAGGGGGCTATTTTTAGATGAGCACATTGGCTGGTTAAGCTAGTGGGCGCTTGCGCCATGGGGAAGTGGAAGTTTAATCGTAACTGGATGGCTAATTCCACGTTGGCGACATGGTTAGCACTGGTTCCAGGCAATAGCTGGAAATTTTAGCTTAAATTTAATTTTAAAAAATTGCTTAAATTTGGTCAAAATGGCCTTAAAAAGGTCTTAAAAAGTCTTAAATTTAGCTCACTTAAACCTGCAGATACCCTGTTGTGATATTAAAAGTTGGACAATACAAATTTTAAGACTGAACTTATTTTGAAAACTCAGGCCAGAGCTTCCAAGACACATCTAGTGTTATCTCAAGATCTCTTCTTCTGGCAGAAGGAAGACTGTAAAAACTGCTGCCACCTAGCTGTCAGAGTTAGAATTGCACCATGCAAAAGAAGTGCATTAAATGTTTGCATGTAAATTCTCAATAAAAAATCTACAGTGCTTTTAAATATTGATTCAGTATCATTACAGAAAGTATCACAATATTTCATTCTATCAGTACCTTTTTACATCCCCAGGAGTCATTTATGCTTGTCCCTTTGCAAGGAGAAAGATTTGCTAGCTACCTAGCATTAGAGTAAAGTCGCCTTCTAAGAAATGATTAAATTGTCCTTTGTAGCTAATGTAAATTGGTTATAAGTATTTATGGTATGATATTTTCTTCTTTCCTGTAGATTAACTATTGCCATTATGCAGCTGAAGTGTTAACCCATCTGTTCTCATGCAGTGGAGAGGTTGTTTCTTTGTCTTCCGTTCTACAGATCCATACTTTAGATTTATGACGATTCAGGTTTTTTGTCCCTCCTGATTGCACCGTTTTATAAATACGATTTGAGGAGTTTAGAAGCAGCCCAGTGTGGTTTGGAGGAGTGGATGTGATCGTGTGTGCTCGGATCACTATGCTTACATTCGTTCCTCCAAGCTCCGCCTCACTTCTCTCATTGACTTTAGAAGGGATTGTGGCTGCATCCTGGGGCATTCATATATTATTTTCTGGATTCTTTTATAAAGGACATATTTGCCTCGTTTTTTTCCTTTTTGCCCAGAAAATCTCTGTAGGTTTGAGTGAAATATCATTAAAATGAAGTGAGTTACTGTTGCATGTAATTAAGTGTGGCTGAGCCTGCTGTGTGAGCCTCCTGGTAGGGTTGCAACACGATGCAGTGTGCTCTTGTTTTAGGATCCCGCGCAGTTTGACAAGAACCTTGCTCAGATCTCATACGTCAGTTATTTATTTTTTTGTTAAATGCTTGTTGATCCAAAAACTGCATATGTTCACTTCAAGCCTGTAACAAAACAACATTTGTAAATGCTGTGTTTCTCATGAAGACACACCCAGCTCTGTCTTCCCATCACATTTCATTAATAATGCATACATACAGGGCTTTAATGGCGACACTGTAACATTCTCCATCCGTTCTCTATAAAGATGAACCTCTCTGTCGGGATGTTTTGTACCTAGTTGTGATCAACCCACAAATTCATAGGAATGCAAAATGGCTCTCGGGCAGTCCTCACACTCTGCTGAAAATATAACTGCCACAGATACACGAAAGCCATATAGACTCCCCTTCTCTGTTTTCCCTTCACACTTTCTCATTCTTAATCTCTTCCTCCACCCACTCGAAAGCCTAAGCGGTTAATCTTATTGGTTTGGTACACATGTGTTGATGTCATCATTGTGAACATGAAATAACTCCCCTATGGTTCCTAAACGAGGTTTCAGAGGGACAGTATTGTCCCACTGTGCTTATTTTGACCAGGTTCTGCACATGGGCAGTGAAATAATTCAGCAGCAGAGCTGCTTTGCCGGCAGTCAAGGAAATATGAAGAATGATGCAAATCACAGTGTGATTAAAAGGCACCCTCTGCCAAGAGGCAGGACTAGTGATGGCTGGGATAACAAGGGGCTTTAAACTGATGAGTATGAGCTTATTTACTTAGGTGTGCTTTGACACAGAGCACAAGGTTTGGGAACTGATGGCACAAGAAAGATGGAGATTCTTCTGCAGTGCTAGAGATTATCAGGGATTTGATCAGTGATCCGTTATTGTAAATTGGATTTCAGCTGCAGTGTTGTGATGGCATAACATGATTTAGACTCACGTGTCAGCTTTAGCTCCTGTTATTGAGATGCTGCTAAACTTATTTTTCTTTAAAAACAAATCTAACCACATGGGCAGTTTTTATATGGCATAATTAGTCGAGAAGTGCCATCTCACTGAAGCTAGGCAGCAGTGAGATGTGCATGTTGCTGCCCCTTTAAGAGCAGCTAGTGAAGCGCTCAGTTCTGTTGGTGCTGCTGCTGATGGCAGCGCTGCAAGTTGATTGGCTGTGGCTGTCAGGGCTGAGCTGCTAGAGGGATGCTGCTACGTATCCTCCCCCTCCCCCCTCGCTGCCCCCCCCCCCTCTCCACCTCCCTCTTGCTTGCTCACATCCCTCTGAATAATCCACATCTAGGGCAAGCTGACTGAGAGGCGATCCAGTGCTCAGCTCCTCTCTGCAGGCTGAGAAAAAGAGACAGAGAGCGAAAGGCAACGATTTTCAACGCAGGAGGAAAAACGTGACGTTTTTGACGGAACAGGAAGATAACAAGAATCAAAAGAGGAAGATTTTCATCCGCGGATATCATTTATTTATACATCTTGTTTATATATCTCTCTATATATTTGTACACACACATATAGATATTTATATATAAACATTTATCCTTGTACATATCTGTATTTGTGCTTGTCCGTTTATATTAATATTTTTATATGTAGTTGTGTGTGTAAATATATATGATATATAAACAAAAGAATCTCTCTATATATATCTATGAATTTATATGCGTATCACTGTGAACCAAGAGAAGCAAGAAGACATTTCTATCATCAGGGCTGGTCTCTGATTGCGTGGTGGCAAACAATATCTTAAACATTTCCTTTGATCTTCTACGTCAGAGGACAAAGACTACGTGCTCATTTTGTATTTTTGTTTTCCTGTTGCTGCTTCCCATTCCTCTGAAATTCTTTTTTTTTCTTACATTGAAGAGGAGTAAAGTGGAAATTGGCAGGATCGGACGAAGAAGGGAAAATCTGAAGCAATTCCTGTGATTAGTGTTATTTCCATCGGCATTAACGCTCTTTGAGCTGATCGCAGAGTGCTGTGTGAAATCCTAGGAGGACGCAGAGACAGAGTGCCACGCCGCTCTTCTCAACATCAGCCTAGCCAGCACAGCCAGCATGCACAAACACCACCACTGCTGCAAGTGCCCAGAATGTTATGAGGTGACCCGGATGGCAGCTCTACGTAGGATGGACGCCCCAGCGTACGGAGGTGAATGGCAGGCAGAGCCCTATGGATACCCACCTGGGTATGGAGGAGGCCAGACCTTACCCCCTCCAGCCTCAGGAGGGGGTGGAAGCATGGGAGGAGGAGGGGGCACTTTGGGGAGAAGTAAGGGCAAGATGTCTGGTGGGGGCCCTGGATGCCCTAACCCAAAGGGCCAATCCAAAGGGGGCCCCAAAGTAAATGGCAACAACTCCACTGGACAAGCAGGATGGTGGCCCGAGTGCACCTGTACCAACCGGGAGTGGTATGATCAGGTAACTCTTCCACTTCGCTCTTATTTTCTCAAGCATGTGATGCTTAATGGAGGGGGCGGGGCCTGAACTGAGATAAGTTAGTCATAGTAAAGAAAAAAGATATATTGATCATGTATCAGCTGTGTATTTTAATGAAACTTTAGAAATTTTGTATTAATCTCAAGTTTTCTCATTCTGCATTTGTTGTCTGTGGTTCCTCTGTTGGAACAGGACTGATCTGGTTTCACTGCATGCGCGCACACACACACACACACACACACACACACACACACACACACACACACACACACACACATGGCGACGATGTTTGGGACTGATGCAGATGACTAATGCTTATAGATTTAACACACCTAGTGTATGTCGTCAAAGGCCTATGCTGATGCAGTAACCATAGGCCTAAAATGTCCTTATATTGACGCGGCACAGTGATGCAGTTTGCGTTTTCCCCTCAAACCAGCAAATTCTTACGTTGCTGTCCGACTATAAACCTAAATGTAGGAATTTGATTCCTTCTTGATCGACTGAATGAAGGATTGTGTCGCATAAGCAATGAGCAGAAGAAGAGATAATAAAATCGATGGTCTATATAAGAGTTGTTTTAGACGAGCCTTTTTGAACAAACATAGCACTATAGGATGCTGTCTAATACAAACCTGTTTTCAAACACTGCCCTTCTTACATGTTGCACAGTGTGAATGAAACAGCCTTTTTCATTTTTTTATTGGCACCATTTTGTTTCTGTTAACGCCATTTATTTACATGTCGTTGGAAATTACAGTTGAGAAAAGGTCAGGACAGCTTCAGAAGCTGTCTTTAATTAAGCAAGGTGCACATATGTGAGAATGAGAGCGATCTTGGGTGGGGGATGGGCAGTTCGTACGGCATGAGATTCAAGGAATGGTTCTTGCTGTGCACGAGTAAGTGTTTATGCAGCCTTGCATTAGCAATGAGTGATGCAGCATCATTGCATGCGCCGTTTTCATTTGTGCTCGATTGTGTTTTTGGACAGAAAAATAAGAACAGGGAAGGTGAGAAGAAAATGGAGAGGGAGAGTTCCTCCTAAGATGAGCTCTCGTATGAGCCGCAACCGCTCTGATATTAGCAGACTACCGCTGCCAAAGAATGCTTTCAGTGAAAAGGGAAAAGGAGAAAACATTGATGCCTTTTTTAGTTTGTATTTCATTACAGCTGCATCGAATCCAGTCAGACGTAACTCATGTTTCACACATTTGAAGCTTGCAGCAGATGTGATTATGTAAGCAGTTATTGCTTACATGAAGGTTTTAGTCTCCCAACAGGACTACCCCCTTTTTTCTGCCACTCATTTGCAGAATATGTGTTAATTAATTATTATATTATAAAAATCAGTAGCTGTTAAACGGACTCCCATCTTTAGCCTGCGTAACGATTCCTCCAAGGGTCGTATGTTTTCCTGAAATTGTTTTAATATATCGACGTCCTTTTAAATGATCTTTTCTACCTTGTACAATGTGCATGTTCACCCCCGTCAAATCTGTGTGGGGGAAACGTACAGCCTGCCCTTCGAGCCTCAAGTACAGCTGAATCTTCAGCTTTACTGTGGAGGTAAAAGAGCTTGAATTGAATATGAGAAGTCAGGGATGGGGCAGAGGTTCAGTGGGGGAAAAATGCAAAGGTTGAAAAGGAGACAAATAAACCAATAAAGGCAGGAAGCGGCCTTAAAGAGGGGGAGGGGGTTATGTAAGAAGAGGCAGTTGGTGATGCTGTCAGTGAGAGAAGCTGGAGAGGCACTGACACTATGGGGAAGCATCTGTCTGTCCAGCTTTTAAATCAGCCATGTCAATGACCAGCATGCGCCCCTCCCACCTTCCCGTGAACATGATGGCGTAGCTGGAAATACACATCCTCAATCACTGCCACCTTTTTGGTTCTTAGTTATCATTGCTCGTTCTAGTTGGGAAATGTGAATCCCACCCTTCCTCCCACTACCTTCACACAGCTGGACAGTGATCACACACACGCCCCATCACGCATCATCTTTACGCTTTCATAACTAACCAGCCTTTTGGATGTTAGCAGGGTGAAATTCAGAGTGATCAGAGCTAGCCTCTATAGCAGCATCACTAATGTGAAATGGCTCTGTAGCGGTGAACATTTCACTCTTGTGTGAGGAAATCATTAGACGGCCCCATACAAATGAACTCCTATCCCCCGTCATCTATTTACAAAGTGGTTGTACTGCTTTTGTCATGAGCTTGCTGGGTTAATTGTGGTTGATTTCAGCTGGGATTATAAGAGCTTTCTTTTAAAACAAAAGCTTTTGAATTTAAATCTGAGAAAAGTAGAGACCTCAGTCTACTGGGATCATCCATCAGAAAGCTCCCTCTTTCCCCGGCGGGCTCCAATCTGTCTTTGTCTGTTCTCCAACTCTGTGGCTATGATTAGCTTTAAATATTAATTGGATTTTATTTTATTTATTAGCGTCAATATTGGGTCCAAGACGCTCTGCCAGAGCTACTGTTTACTGCTGTACTAGCAGAGGCTTAAAAGCATGCAGAGACACAGTGGGCGTTCCTCACTTAACACTCCCATAGGTGATTACGACATGAAAGCCTCCGTGTGTGTGTGTGTGTAAGTGTGTTAATAGTTACACAACAGTGTATTGTACGTTTGAATGATGAGGTTTTTTTTCTAGGTTAGATTTAATTTGCTATTCTCCTAGCAGCCTTCCAGAGAGTTTCAATGTATTGGATCTACAAGTTCTACATGTTCAAATGTCTCGAGCTGGAATCCCAACCTGTAATCCTTACAGGAGCCATTCAAAACCAGCAGCATTCTAACTAGTTCTTAAAAGATTTATCGGAGAGTGTTTCTTAGATGTATAGTATATTATCAGAATCAACGTGCAGTCGTAACGGTACAGAATCGTCTGTGTGAACAGCAAGCCGCTGCAGATTTTAAATTTATGAACATTTTTACAATCATGATTTTCAAACCTGAACCACAATTGAATTCCAACTAGAGGTCATTCAGTCTCAAGTCACATGAATTTTAAAAGAAAATTGTTATGAAGCCTGGGCAAATCTCATAATATGCAAATAATCATCAGCATCATAATTTCCAAAATTAGCAGATAACAGTAAAGGTCCAAACCTACAAAAAGATTAATATTATAGTACTACAACTTCACAATCAACAGCTTCTTGAAGACGAAACTATGCATATTACCTGCACGAGACTGAAGAATATCATAGTGCTACAAGGCAGCTTTTGTTCTCCAATGTCATCATCCTTCAAAACTGCAACTTGCCTGGAGTATTCAGGCGTTTCTAGTATCAGATACTTTGATGCAACAGAAAGCAAGTTGCTGCAGCATCAACACACACTTTAAGGATTTTATGGGGGGGAATTGTGGTGAATTGTCTGGCAGTCAGAAAATTGTAGATGTTTAGAAAAGAGCTGCTGTCCTTGAACGAGAACTTTTTTATTTTTATTTTTTTACCTTTTTTGGTAGAACCTGAAGGTCCTAAACCATGTTTCTGAAAAAGATTTTATACTGCAAAGTTTTATTTTGTTGAATTTAATAATGTCAATATTTTGATGCAGAAAAAGCTTTATCATTCAAGTAGTTTCTTGACCTAATACATTTAGAGGAAACACATTATTCCCTGTCCTCAGCTAAGCTCAGTCTTTTTAAGAGCACATGGGTCTACTTACACGTGAAGAAGACAGGTCAGCTGTTAGAACATTTGGGAGGCTGTGGTTGATTTTCCATGGATTGAAGATTATGATATGATTGAGAAACTTAACTGCTTAAATATTTTTCTAAAACCGTATGGGACAGTACGGGTTTTGGTATTTCATTTTTAGCAAGGGTGGGATCAGCTGCTCGTCATTGTAGCATATGTGAGGCCGTGCTGGAACACAGAAACGTGACTTCTCTGTGTGCATCTGTTTACTACTCTACATTGCATTAATTTAGCTAGCACTTTTCTTTTAAAGCGACTCACTGAGGAGTATATTGCTCTAAATGAGTTTAATACAGACATTTACGGTGAGGTTTAGATCTCTTTTTCCAACTAATCAGAGCAACTAAGAGCTACTTCGCTTATCATCAGGCAGTAGAGAAAAAAATATATCAATAAATTCCCATTCATGTTTAATATTGTTTTATCTTTAGTGTAATTTATCTTTTTGTAGTGTCAGACCTTCAAATTACTTTATTAAACAATAAAATGAGTTGGTGTGAGCTCCTCTGCAGATGCTGCTGGTCACGCCGACAGGTGATTATTCTCTCCGACCAATTAGTACTCTGCAGTGTTTTAAGGTCACCATATGGTACCAGCTCTGCTCTATTGTAACCCAAGATTAGGTAGTACCAAAAAAGTATCACAGTTGGTGTTGATGTCAGAGAAGTGATGTGATGTGATACTACCTACAGGTAACCAAATAACATAGACCTACTGCAAGTGAAGTACCAAATAATAGGAAAATGGTCCATCGCACAGTTAATGGAACCTTTAATTGGTACCGAGTTTAATTTCTGTGTATTTTGTGATACATATTGGTTACGTGTATTAAAAAATCTGAAGGTAAACAAGACAAATACGTGGATGGTTGCCCATTGTGATATTTAAAGTGATATTTAAAGCAAAGAAAAATAGTTAAAAAAACTTTTATATTTGTATTTCACAGTTGGGTTGACTTGAAGCATTGTGTATGTTCAGCAAAAATAAAAGAAAACTCATTTGAGGTCCAGAAGAAGGAAAATCACATTAACAGCTGTAAAAGTAATTTATACACTCATTTAGTTTAGATTTTTGTTGTTCATAACAAAATATTTGATGGAAACCAATAATGTGGATTTACAGGTGCATTAAAGTCATGAGGGATGAAAGGCCTTCAAGATGAGCTGTAAAAGATTCCTAGAACTGTTTTCTTGTAGAGGCAATTTGGTCTCAACCTTATAAGTGAGGGCACCTTAAATGTATGTTTTACAACACTAATGTGAATTTATCTTC